ATTTTTCCTCTGAAGATATTTCTGCAGAGATGCTTTTAAATTTAATAAATGACAAAATAAAATTAGGATCTGCTATTGAATTACTAAAGCAATTTTCAATGGTTAATTTAGAACACACAATGCTTAATTTGCATAGACTAGTGCAGCAAGTAACAAGAATACAATTAGAAGAGCAAAAAAGAGAGGAAGAGGTTTTAACAAAAATTTTAAAATTATTTAATAAAAATAATGTGAATTCAGAAAATTTAAATCACGCAATATCTGTTTGGAATTATTCAAGCAAATATAATAAATTAGTGGAAGAATTTTCTCATCTTTCAACTCATATTAGCGTTGAGCTCATTAACAGCGCTAGGTATGAGGAAGCATATTCATTTTCGTTAAAAATATTAGAGCTATTAAGTGCATTACCATTAGATAATCCTGGCATTCTGGGTAGTCTTTTTGCAACTAATAACAATATAGCTGGAGTACTTCTAAAACTAGGTAAATATGATATAGCTCTGAAAACTTTTCAAGAGAGTTATAACATCCACAAATTGAATTTCGGACCAGATCACCCTCAAACTTTAAAAATAAAAGGTAATATGGCTTTAGTGCTCTTTGAACAAGGTAAATATAATGAAGCCTTACAATATTATCAAGAAATACTCGAAATCATGGGGGAGAATGATCCTAATACTTTATCGACTAAACATAGCATAGCATCAATATTTCTCAGTCAAGGTAAGTATAATGAAGCTTTGAGGATATTTCGAGAGATATATAATATTGAAGAAGCTACTTTAGAAAAAAATCATCCTCAAATATTGAATACAAAAAATAGTATTGCAGGTGTGCTTATCAATCAATGTAAGTACGATGAAGCTTTACAGATGTTTCAAGAAATATGCAATATTCAAGAAGTTAATTTGAAAAAAAGTCATCCTGATATTCTATGCACAAAGAAAAATATAGCAGGAGTATTTTTTATGCAAGATAAGTATAGTGATGCTTTGAAAATTTATCAAGAAGTACTAAATACTGAAAAAATGATTCTTGNTGGAGAAGATCATCCTGATGTTTTATATACTTATCGCCTTATAGCAGATGCACTGCGAGGGCAAGATAAATACGGTGATGCATTAGAAATTTACCAGGAGGTCTTAAATAAACAAAAAGATATTTTACGTTCTGATCATCCGGAAGTCTTATATACACAATATAATAAAGCACTTACACTTGATAATCAAGGCAAATATAGTGATGCTTTACAAATTTATCAAGAAGTATTAAATAAGGCAAAAGTTGTTTTAGGAAATGATCATCCTAATACTTTAAAAGTAAGTAATAGTATTGCCATAATATTTTCACGGCAAGGGGAACATAATAAAGCACTTCAACACTATCAGGAAATACTTAAAATTCAAGAAAATAGTTTAGAAGAAAACCACCTTGATACTTTAGCAACAAAAAGTAACAAGGGTATGGCACTTTACAATAAAAAGGAATACGATCAAGCTTTATCAATTTTCCAAGAAGTTTTTAATGAGTTACAAAAATTACGTCCTAATAATCCTGATACTTTGTCTGCAAAGAGTAATATAGCGCTAGTACTGTTAAAACAAAAGAAGCATGATGAAGCTTTGAACATTTTTAGGGAGGTACTTGATTCTCAAAAAGTTATCTTAGGAGAGAAGCGCTATAGTACTATAATAACAAAGAATAACATAGCATCAATACTTCTTACACAAAAAAAGCCCGAGGCCCTAAAAATTTTGCAAGAAGTTTTTGAAGGGTTTAATAAAGTTTTAGGGCCAGAACATCCAGAGACTTTGGAGATTAGTAATATCATAAAATCAATGTTAACTAATGATCTACTGATTGCTGTAAAAAATAATAACTTCGAAATAGTAAAAAGTTTAGTTGAAAGAGATGGCAATGTTAATACTAAAGATAATAATGATAAAACATTATTACATTACGCTGTTGACAATGGCAATATGGATATTGTAAATATCTTACTTAAAAACGGAGCTGACATTACTCAAGTTACTAATGAAGGTTATACGCCATTACACATTGCTACTTCTAAAGGTCAGAAAGAAATTATCGAAGTTTTGTTACACCATGTAAGTCATGATAAATTATACGACTTTATCAATGCTAAAACCACTGTTAGCGGTGCTACATCACTTCACGTTGCAGTTAAGAATGGTTTTTTAGATGTTAGCAAGTCCTTATTAAAGTGTGGTGCAATTTATAACATTAAAAATAATGAAGGTGAAACACCACTTAATCTTTCTAAGAACCAGAATATTAACAATATACTGAAACTAATTGAAGAATTATTTGAAGATGCAAAAAAAGGTAATGTTAAAATAATCAGCAAGTTAAGAATAGTAAAACCTGATATGTTTGTAGCCATAACAAATGCCCGTAATAACAAAGGAAATACGTTATTACTAGTTGCTATAGCTAATAAACATGAGAATATTGCAAGAAAATTGTTAAAATTACTGAAAAAGCCAGACTAAAATTTACAAGATGTTAATATGGAAAATGAAATTAAAAGTTTAAAACTTTAAATGATGCTGTTGAAATGTTTATATCTAACCTAAGTTAACATTACGTCTAAATTAACTGCAACATCTGAGTTTCAGCAAGCTAGAGTTGAATCAAAGAAAAGTATGTATAGAGGAAAGAAAGTATAGATTTTTTTATATATAGACTACTTCCTGAACAGCAAAAATTGACGAATTAACCGTTCCCTAATGTTGGTCAAACGTTAAGTTGGGCAACGGTTAGTTAACCAATTTATGTTGTTCGGGTTAATATTTTAAATCACAGTTGCAGGTTTACTGTTTCATTTTATCAAATATTTTTATTATTAAAGGAAAGGAAATTTATGCAAACAACTCAGATAACTATAGAAACTCAAATATTGCAAAATAATACAATTATATCTAATCTTATCTAATCATACATAATTATGTATATTTAATATTAAATAATTATATATATTTATATATATTTATATATAATTTAGCTTAGTTATATATATTTTTACATGATGTATGAAATATTTTTTAACGGGTGACTATTATTAAACGGATTTTTAACTGACCTTTTTTCTAGTTATAATATAACAAAATAAATAGTTTGAAATAAGGAGTACGTTATGGAATATGGACAGATATATTAAGATATATATATTACGTACAATTATTAATTGCTGACAATGACTTAGATGAAAATAATGTGAAAAAATAAAAAAGAAATTACAAAAAGAATGTTCATACATCACAGATGAAAAAATTATATCTATATAGCACAGAAACTTGCAGTAACATTGCTGCAACATTGCAACAATGTTAACGTCAGTTTTTGTGGTATGCAGATAGATTTGTTGACATGGATTATATTAGGTGAAGTAAAAAGTTCTGAGCGTTTTCCGCTAGATGTCT